TTTCCCCCCCCCCCCCCAAATTAAGAATACAACTACCATATGATTCAGTATTCCGACTACTGGATATTTATTCCAAAAAGTTGAATTCAAGATCCTGAATATTTGCCTTCCTATGTTTATTGCAGCACTATTCACATTAGTCAAAGTATAGAAGCAAACTAAGTAGTTAATCATGGATGAATGAATAAAGAAAATGTGGTACATGCACACAATGGAATATTGCTCAACCTTAAAAAAAAGGGGGGATCCTGCCACATTCAACTACATGGATGAATCCTGAGGATATTATGCTAAGTGAAATAAGCCAGTCATAGAAGGACAAATCCTGCATGATTCCACTTATCTGAGGATTCTAAAATATTATTTTTTATTCAGAACCCATAGACACAGACAGTAGAATGGTGGTTACCAGAGGCCAGGGGAAGAGGAAATGAGGAGATGTTGGTCAAGAGGTACGTGTTTCAGTTACGTAAGACAAATAAATTCTAAAGATCTACTATACAACATCATGCCTATAGTTGATACTATGAATTGTGCACTTTTTTTTTTTTTTTGGAGTTGGAGTCTCACTCTGTCACCCAGACTGGAGTGCAGTGGCCACTCCCAGCCACCGCAGCTTTGACCTGCTGGGCTCTGGCGATCCTTCCGCCTCAGCCTTCCAAGTAGCCGGAATTATAGGCGCGCACTACCACGCCCGGCTGATTTTTTGATTTATTGTAGAGATGAGGTCTTGCTGCCCAGGCGGATCTCGAACCCGCGGGCTCAGGCAATCCACTCACCTGAGCCTACCAAAGGTGCGGGATTACAGGCTGAGCCACCGAGCCCGGCTGAATTGTACACTTAAACATTTTGTTAAGATAGGAGATCTCATGTTTATTGTTCTTATCTTAAAAAATTTGAACCTTAGAAAATTAAAGGGCCATAAAATACACAATGAAAGGGTAAAACCCCAAACAAAAACGAAGAGGGAGAAAAGCAAAACTAGAAGAGATGGCATACCCAAAAGAAATGAAAGAATGTCTACAGCCAAAGAAACAAAAAGAGAGAACATGTGTCTTTGATGCAACAGAAGCAGCAGCAAGAGCCAAACATCTTAAACATAGATCCTTTATCCTTTTTTTAGTTCAATTCACAGGAATAGTTTTAAAAACTATTTTAAATGCACATTTTAGTAGCTCCAGAGATATGTTTATAATAAGGTAAAAACTTCATCTATCATATTTTAAAAGAGTACGTTTAGGTAATTGTAAATATTTTTAAGGAGTGATATGATTAACTTCATAATTTTTGCTATAATAAATTATAAAATATTGAATTAAGAAAAACTTAACTTCTGAATGTGTAAAGTTTTTATGATAAAAGTTGAGGAACTTTTTTATCCTACCATGAGAATCAAACCACAAAGAAAATTTCAGAGTCATGGTTATGTACAAAAAAAATCTTAAGCATGTTGGGGTTTGATAAAAAGTATTTCAAGTAAATAATGTGGATATCCACACTAAATTAATATACTCCCTGAAATTGTGACTGAAAATTTTTGTTAAAAGTGTAATTTTATATTGCATTATAAATGTGAGATCTCTTAAAATGAAATATCTAAGAATGTTTCAAGAGTTGAATCTACCACATTTGATATCTTTTTATGGGCTAAATTTTAATACCCCAAATTTGTAACTTGGAAATCACTGGAATAACTGTTTCCAAAAAAAGATTACAACTCAATGGCTTCGATTTTCAATATTACACTAAGAATTATATTCAACTTTTTGTTTGTGTAATGCTCACAAGAATAGAAATCTTTACATTATGATGTCTAATTTACTTTAAAATATGCCAAAACCACACGGTGAGATATTAAGTAGTGTTAGAAGTTAAGTTTCACATCTAGGTTGAGAATCTATACTGCATAGTTTATCAGCTAATATTCTAGCCAAGTGCATCAATTATTCATGTATTGATCAACTCCTGAGGCAATACTCATTATCATAGTGATGCTAGAAATGATTTTTTATAAAAATGCTGTTACCTTTTTAATTTCAGAGTCTTGACAGTTTATGATGTACTTCTGCAGAGTGTGGCGGTGGGACTCAGAGCTGGGAGGGGGGAACCGGGGAAGGATCCTCCCAAGAAATCCATGAGAAGACTTCCATGTTGGACAGTGAGTATCTGAATGTAGCATGACACCGACACTGAAGCAACTTTTCAGGAGACAAACACTCTCCAGGGTTCAGCCTACTCTGCCCTATTTGTCTTCAAAGGAGGCACCAAAAAAAAGGCACATTCTTGAAAACTCTCCAGGTTCAGTTGTTGAGTCACAGAAGATCCCAGCATCTCAGGGGGTTTGTGAACGCCTCCCCTTGCGGACTCAGGCACTGTGTCACTGGTGGCACAGAAGTACTCAGCCGAATCTCTCAAATGGGCTGAGGATTTTTTCAGGTGGAAGGAGGATTCACTCTTCTTAAATTCTGCCTCAAAACCTTTGATGCCTTTAACCGGGGTGTTCCCTGGAACATACTTCAGCAGAAGCTCGAATCCTTGGTTGTGGTATTGCACATACCAGAAGAGATACGACGAATAAGAAAATGAATAGTTGCACCTCAGCTCTAGAGGGGCTCCTTCAGAGACAGTGATGTGGCCATCGGGCTGGGTCACGGAGTGGGCTCCAGTTCCTCCTGCACCATCAATGCTGTGTAAGTAAAAGCAGCGCACACCTGGCTATGAAGAAAAGATGTCTCTAGTCAGATCCAACGAGAACATGGTCTCTTTTATGAGAGGAGGAACGGGAATGAAATGTTACTCACCAAGGGCAAACATCACCTCAAGCACCAGGACGAGCAGCAGGAGCATGGCCGAGCAGCGGAAGCTCTGTAAGGCCCGAGCAGGTGGGACAGCAGCCAGGGTGACTGAGTCTCAGGAGTTAGGAGCAGTGAGGAGGTTGGTCGGACAAGGCCCTGGCTTTGGAAAGTTTCAAAATCGGTTAAAGAGAGGTCTTTTCTCAAGAGTCTGGGTGCTTTCTGGCATCATGTTTTCGTCTCAGGTCCCTACCTACACAGACATCAGTGAGGACACATCAGTCAGCTGCAAGGAGGAGGGGCTGAGGAGGATGATGGTCTACCAGATGAACAGATGCCGCCTTTGTGCAACATCGCCCTCTGGAGGCCAGAGGCGGGACCAAGGATCCAAGGGCGCGAACTGTTTCCTTTGCCTTTCAGAGATGTGACATCAAAACTGACAGAAAGTGTGTCTTCCTTCCCGAATCTATGACGATATCACTTCTGTATAGTACATAATATTGGTTTTAAAATATATTAGAGCCCGCGGGTTCGAGACCTGCCTGGGCAGCGAGACCTCATCTCTACAATAAATCAAAAAATCGAGGGGGAGATGGGGCAAGATGGCGACGGCATAGGTGAACTGGTGAGATTCTCTGAACGTGAGTTCCCAAAAAGGCTATCACTTCGCTACCCCCATCCCCCAGCCCACCACTAACTGCGCTGGGGTCAGGCCTGGGAACTTCAGTCCCACGCAAGGCCAGATATTGCACCCCTCCCCCCACTACTGCCGTTCTACTCGTGTGTGGAAGTCTCTGGTCCCAGCCCCCTCCAGATCCCTCCCCGGCTGCATTGTCTCCAGCCGGGCACCCGGCATCAAGCCACCGGTCACACAGGGAGGCTCTGGGCGCCCGCCCCTCAGAGACGCCGGTTCCATTTATGGCTGAAGTACTCTGTAGGGTCCCAGCGTCACTCTCGCTGTTTAGAGCCTGCCCTTTGGAACTTTGGAGCTCTGGAACTCCGGGTCCACCCTGGCTGAGGCACTCAGCATGAGACCCCAAACCAGAGGACCCAGACAAGCGGAGGAAAACAGACCTGCTTAAACTGCCTTGCCATTCTCCAGGCAGAGACTTCCATTGCCCTGCCCACCTATCAACAAACTTTACCTCATTTCCTAAGGCCAGGTATTGCAGCGTGCGGGGAAGTTTTGGGTCCCTGCTCCG